CGAAACTGAGCCGAATTGTCGGGATTTCCAAATTTTAGGATACTTAAAATTTTTTCAAGATTTCGGGTAGGTTTGGGATTGGGCCTTCAAGCCCAAATTGTTGGGCTTTTTAAATTTTTTGGATTTTGAACGGAATGAAAGTTAGCACACTTATTTGTGATAGACCATTAAGTGTAAAAAGTAAGTCTAGAAGCCATAATTACATGCCAAAGTTCACAATTTCATACCAATGTTCACAATCTCATAAATTCATACAATTGCATGCAATTAATTCTAACAATCTCATAATTTCGGTTTAGTTTGGGATTTCCGAATCATTAAATAGGCAATTCTGAATCTCATACCGAATGGCTCGAAATTAGCTCAATATGACATTTTGAAAATTTTGAAAATTCCGATTTAGAACTTTCTTAATTTAAGATCAAAATTTTTTCGATTTGACTCAGAATGTTCAGGAATTTTTTTCAGCCCTACATGACTTCCACTACTTTTCAAGCTTTCATTTTCATCATTACGTACTCTCAAACACTTCTTCTTTTATTCTTTACAATATTAATTTCTACTTTGGTCAAAACATAAAAAAATGTACCTTTTTCTTCTTCAACAACACAAACAATTCTTCACGTTGATAGTTTCCTATTTGGCCGCTATTTAATAAATGAATTAAACAAAAAAAAAATTGTCAACCCTTTTTGAACACGTGGCCGTAAACCAACTGAGAACAGACCGTTGAGCTATAGTTGAGGCTGATTTGTAGGAAACTGACTCGTGTCATTGCCATTGGCTAGAATGACAAACATATCTATTCCAGGCTCCCACCTACGAATTTTTTTTTTCTTGTGCTCGTGACAAAAGTGATACACCACATAATGTTATAAGTGGTGAATTTTTATTTTTTATGTGATTACTTTTTTAACACAAGAATTTCATCATTTATATAGAAACACATGGTATAACATCTCGTATTCCGAGCACATCGAAAATTTTCTCCCCACCAAGAGGCGGATGCATTGAGGGGCATATGGATAACTTGAGTGCTGACTCTCCGAACTTTGATGAATATCCATGGATAACTTGGATGGTGCCCCTTTAAAGATTAGATTTGGCTTCATACATGTCATCCAATTGTAAGAGTGGCTCCTTTTTTTTTTTTTAATAAATATTACTTTGTCAAAACAACATAGTTTTGGACCCTTAGTATGATAAAAATAAATAAACACAAAAGCTGAAAATATAAACACATGGATGATGGATATGTTACTCGGGGGAGATCACGGCGTAGAGCTCAAAGAATCACAAACTTCCATCTTTTATCATGTGGAGCTCTTTGTTGCAATCATTGATCAGCAACTTGTGGAATTAAATAGTTGCTTGATGAGATAAATATAGAGTTCCTTCTTTGTTTAGTAAGTTTGAGCCCGGATAATTCATTCTCGGCTTTTGATGAACAAAATCTAATTTGTTTTGCTCATTTTATCCGAATGAATTTACTGCTTGTCAACTCTTAGCACTTGAAGATCGACTTGGGATATGCATTCAAGTAGTGAATTTTCTCAATTGAAAGGAATTGGTAGTCTTGCACAAGAAAAATGGTGGAGACGGGAAAGAATAGAGTATATAATCATGTGTATTTGCTAATTACATTAGCTTTGGTTCTACCAGTTGCTACTGCTTCAGTGGAGATAGCTTTTTTTGCTATGAATATTGTGAAGATTCAATTGCTTAACCGAATGGGAGATCAATGATTGAGTGATAGCATGATGGTTTGTATTGAGAGCAATGTTTTTTTTTCATTGACAATGAAGCTATAACGCAACGTTTTCAAAACATGAAAACACGTCGGGGACTATTGTAACTTGTATTGTTATTTGTTTTATAAGTTATGAATGATGGAACTATGGTTTAATTTTTAAAATTATTATATTTCTAAAAAATATTTGTTACATGTGATCTCCTGAAATATTTTTCCTGAATCTGTCTCTGTGGAATTTTCATTCGGATTCTGTAAAAAAATAAAATTAATAAAAAAAATATAATAAAATAATGTCATTCTTCTTCTTCTCTTTGCTTGAACCCTTCTCCCTCCCATGCCCTAAAGTGGACCCCACCTTGATGCAATCCTCTCCTAAAAGACCAACAGTACCCCTCCAACATGTATGTCATTCCGGACACAATAGCAGGTATTTTTCTGTATAGAAATTTGTGATTCATGTGATGTTAATGGTGTTGTGTCACAGCCCGTCCCGGAGTTGTGTATTATTTATTTATCAACAGCGTGAAATTACCTAAATACCCTTGGACGTTGAGAATTATTATGGAAGGTTGTGGTTTAGAATTAAGAGTGTGGACCAATTAGCTATATTCCTCTATTATTGGACCCAATTAGAACTAAGTGTTCTCTTAGTTGTGATTGGTGGCTTTTGGACCACACATACCCACCTACCTTCTCTCTCCTTCCCGTGCCCTCTCTCTCATCTCTCGGACTCTCTCTCTCTTCCCTCTTTCGTACGGACAAGCTTCAAACTCCCCATTTCAGGCATGGATCGAAGCTTTAAGGGTAAGGTTCTTGCTCATTGTAACCTCCTGAGTATATTGGTACCCTTGTTTAGACGTGAATGCTTCGAAAACCCGAGAAACCCTAACCTCGATTTTGTGCACTGTTCATGCACACGTAAAACCTTATATTTCAGGGAATTCTAAAGACATAGGAAGCTTAAGGAGGTCCTCACGAGTCTCGGGGTACTTCGTTGGAAGGATTTTGACGTCGGAGGACTGAGATTGACGTGTTTCTAGGTAAGCCGAGGTATTGACCTTTCTCGGGGAAAATCTAGTAGAATTTAAGCCTTGAAACTTGTATAACGTCATTCTACATGTTATTAGCTTCATTTTGGTACCAATTTCATGAAAAATGGTGAAGAAACGAAGGAGAATAGTGGTTTTAAAGTTTTACCCAAAAACTGGCGAAGTCGCCGGCGACTGGCTACTCACTGGAGAAGAAAGGGGAATATTCCGTCAGTTTTGATGGAATATGCTAACGCCGACAGTTAGTTGGACGGTTACTGTTGGGTTTTAACGGAATATCCCTGTGCGTGGCTGCGCGTCTTGCCCTGCCCTCGCCGGCGCGTGGCGGCGCGTGAGGGGTCCAAAAATTAATCTGAAAATTTAGGGATGGTCCTGAGGTTGTGTAGGTCATTGTGGTATATTCATATACCCATTTTGAGCTATGTATAAGAAGTTATTAGCTAGTTTTGCCTATGTGCTTTAAAATAACGTTTTTATAGTTAATTCGCATTTAGGTGAGACTTATCCCGAGGACGAGGGTATCCGAGGGCAACTCGGGGGCTACGACCCTTCGACTTACCAGTGAGTGGGCTTTTCGTTTTCAATATATATTATATACTTGATATTTTCCCATAAATATGTGTTTAAATAATAGTATGCCATAAATGCCATGCATATAAGTTTATAATTCATACATGATTTGGTATGTGATGCTTTATATATATAAATGTGGTGCTGTGGATACTCAGGTAAGCTCAGGTAAGTTCAGGTAAGTTGTGTTTGGTTATGTGAATCATCGATGATGTGACATGTGATTGAATAAGGTTGAGCTCATAAAACTGCACTTAGGGTGATTGTGATTTAGCCATAGATATGGCACAGGCCTGTTTATTATGTCACCTCCCACACCATATGCTCATATTGGATCCAATTTAGATGCACAGTCTTGTCGTACAGACCTTATTTATGGTTCCGACTAGTAGGTGACTAGCGATTTATCGTCCAACTATTATGTGAGAGTAGTGTTGAGCATGATTATATTACACTCATTATTGTCGTATAGACCTTTCTATTTGGTTCCGACTCTTGTGCAGTATGTTGCCGTATAGGTCATTGTAGTGACTCCGGCTAGAGTGACCTTTGAGCTATCAATTCAGCCGTACAGACTACCACAGGGGTTTCGGCTAATATGTTATATTTCTATGAAATTATTCTTACCTGAATTGCTTACTTTGTTATATCTTGGCATGGCATACGTATGAATATGATTATGTGAAGCATGAATTGAGTTGATATGATTTCATATATAATTATGTATATGCTTATATCTTGATTTTGGGAAAAATTATACATGTTTTACAGTGAGGGGTTAGATATGTTGATAAATGAAATGGTTTTGTAAAACATTTGTTTTTGCCCACTCACGCTTTCTGTTTTGCGCCCCTCCAGGTTTTAAGTAAGCTTGATGTTGGTGGCTTGAGGACGTTGCCAGTTTTGACCTATCTAAATAATAGTAGGACATTCCTGGTACTGTAAAACTAGTACTTATCCTACTGGACTGCACCTAGACTTATTATGCTCTAATTAGGAGTGTTTACTTTTGTAACTAACTCCTATCACTTCCTATTTAGTAGTCCACTCTAGTAGTTCGGTTTTTAATTATTCATATATTTCTTATCATTATCGCTTCCGCACTGTGCATATGGCTACGTCACTCTCACGTGACGGCCAACATGCCTTGATCTCGGTCGGGGTGTGTCATGTTGGCTATCCCACATCGGTGAGAGAAGAAGAAAGAAATAATTTAAATATAATTATCCTATTTTAATTAATATTAAAGTCATTTATGATAAAATTTCACATTTGATGGTTTGAACAGATGACAATTATTAAATTGGGAACAATATCAATCTTATAAAAGTAGAGCCTCCGGCCGGTTGACTTAAAAAATTCGACCAATGGTGGCAGAGTTGTAAATATCTGCAGTTGCAAGGTTGTTTATCATCTTGTTCCTGTTGGCTAATCCAACAGGGACACTTGTTAAAGAATAAACTTCAGATCTTTGAGTGTTTTGAAAGTATATCAAAGGAATCATATTCTTAATTACGTAGTAAATGTAAATATACATTTGGCTGTTAAAAACATATCGAGTCTTTATAAAGTGATTCCATTGCGTGATCGTTTTTCATTGATATTTTGTTGTCTTTTCGTTTTTTGGCCTCTCTCTCCTTTTGACCACTTACCATGCACATCCCATCCTAATCATATTACCCTCCCTTTCTTTCTCATTTTCAATCAGTATATTGCTGTCCCAATTAATAGTTCCATATGCTCAAATTCTCCCACACCGTATATTTTTTTTCCATTCCTCATAAAGTTGTAATTCAAAAAGGAGTGGTTTACTACCATTGTTTCTGAATTTCCAAAATTTTCATGTGTTTCCGTCTCTCATCTGCCTTGAGACAATTCCAGTGAATCCGCCACCACCGGAGATATATTCTCCCGGCACGTGTGATCGAAGAAGGTCAAATGGAGAAACTACTCGCCGGAAAGTGCTACAGAGAAGTCTGGTTTGGTGTACTAGTCTCATTTTTCTTGTTCTTTGTATTGCTTTGCTTTGATTATTCAACTTCAATATTGGATGTCTACCATGGGGTTGATTTTTTAGTCATTCAACATGTTCGTCCATTCTACATCAAAGATTCGTGTTTCGGCCGCTATATTTACATCCACGATCATCTTCCCGCAAGGTTCAACTATGATCTCCTCGCAAACTGCCATTCTCTTTCGACAGGGAGCAAGTCCCTTAGTGATCAAGGTGCTAATACTAGCGACAATATGTGTCCTCACCTTGTGAATTCGGGTCTTGGTCCTCAAATCGAAAAACCCGGAAAGGTTTTGGCAAACAAGAGTTGGTTCCTCACCAATCCCTACTTGTTAGAAGTTATATTCCACAACAAGATGAAGACGTACAAATGCTTGACGAACAACTCCAATCTGGCTTCGGCCATTTATGTACCGTCCTATACTGGCCTCGATGCAAGTCTCCACCTGTGGAATTTTGATCTCAAAGTCAGGGACGCTTCTGCGAAAGATCTTGTGAATTGGCTTTCGAGGAGGCCCCAGTGGAAGAAAATGTGGGGGAGAGATCATTTTTTTGTTACCGGGAGGACTTCTTGGGATTTCAGGAGGACCTCGGACAATGGTTCTGATTGGGGTACTAATTTGAGGTTTTTGCCGGAATCATTGAACATGAGTATGTTGTCGGTTGAAGGAAGTTGTTGGAGAAATGACCTTCCTATACCGTACCCCACAAACTTTCATCCTGCGAGCGACAGTGAGGTTGTTCAATGGCAGAACAGAGTGAGGAAGTACAAAAGGCATCACTTGTTCTCTTTCGTGGGCGCGCCGCGGCCTGGCATGCAAAATTCCATTCGGGGCAAACTCATTGATCAATGCCAAGCTTCGAGTAATTGCAAATTCGTGCATTGTGGTTCTCCTGGGATTAATTGTAACGACCCGGTTACGGTTATGAGGGTATTCGAGAAGTCGGTCTATTGCTTGCAGCCTCCGGGGGACTCACATACTAGGAGATCAGCATTTGATTCTTTACTTGCTGGTTGTATTCCGGTCTTCTTCCATCCTGCGACTGCGTACACGCAGTACTTATGGCATTTGCCGGAGAAACATACCAAGTATTCGGTGTTTATTCCGGTGAAGGAAGTGGAAGATTTGAAAGAAGGCATGATTGAAAAAACATTGCTTGGAATTTCAAATGAGAAGGCATTGGCAATGAGGGAGGAGGTCATAAGGCTGGTACCAAAGCTGGTGTACGCAGATCCTAGGTCGAGATTAGAGAGCGAAGACGCGTTCGATTCAGCATTACAGGGAATTCTTGAGAGGATAGAGAATGTTAGGAAGGTGATTAGAGAAGGCAAGGATCCTAGTACTGGTTTTGCAGATGAGGATTGGACTAAATTCATGCTTGCTGAGGCGCCAGAACAATAAAAGAAAGAGAGAAGAATATGCAGAAATATTCATATAATCATGATTTATTGCCGTTTGCTTGTAGAAAATTATATGATGAGACTGTTTTCCTTGTGAGTAATTATTCCACCAATCAATAGAGGATTTACTGTTTTCCTTTATATACAGCGTAAAAGTGAAGTTATTATATTCTTACTTTTTCATGTTTGATCATTATGATGTCTTCTTTTTCAAAGTCTCATTAAAAATCAGTACTTCTTGTCCTGTGCAGACTGTTGTTAATTACTGCGGTTGTAGAAAATAATTTTGTCCATGTATTACTGTGGGTTTAATTTTCGGACAAGGATTGTCTGCCCTCCTAGTTGTGGTGCCCTTCCATGCTCTTCTATTTGTGCGGTCACGGTTAAGCCACGTCAATATTTTATATTTTTATTATTTTTTGTCTTATTATCTCATTAAAAAATTAATATAAAATATTGACGTGGCTTAACCGTGACCGCACAAAATAGGAGGGCATGGAAGGGCACCACAACTAGGAGGGCAGACAATCCAAGTCCTTAATTTTCACCGATATACTCTCTTTAACAACTAATTGTTTAATCTCCTAACCCTATCACTCTACTATAAAAATAAGGGAACTTTAACGAAAAGCACCCGGTACTGTTCACTTTAACGAAAAACCACATTTTTACACTAAAAAGTCAATCCTGATACTATTCACTTTACCCTTTATTTTGTTCTTATAATTAAAACTCAAAGTTTTCAAGCCATTTTCATTAGTTTTCCTTAAAAGTAATCCTTCTACTAATTCCGCTGGCTGATAATATCATGAGTTTGACAAAGTCATATAACAAAAATTGTTTAGCTCCTTACATTTCTACTTGTCCGCAAAACATATATACAGATAGTACTTACTAAATACAGCACAAAAAGGAAAAGAATTTGATGTACACATATCATATTATGAGGATTTGAATTCCATCTAGATCATTGTGATGATTTTAGGAATCCTTACATCTTATTTCTTCATCGTAAATCATGAAGTTAAAAATTATTTTGATTTTATTTAAAAAACAGTACTTAACAAAAATTGATCGCACAATATATAATGAATAAATGAAGAAGAATCTCATCCATATTATGATTGGTTGCTACGAAAAATGACCGACTTTTTTGCATGTACTTGTTTTGCCCTATGCAGTCATTGAATCATCGTAAGAGTAATGCATGGTGACCAAATTGACCACTTGGGGATTGATGTCAATACATTTCTCCTTACCTTAACAGTGTTCACCCGTTTACGAATGACCAATCTTATTAGTCATTCGGTTGAAACATTATCTTCATCACACCTGTCACCATTACAGCCAACCCTATTTGATTCTTAGATTATTGTACATAATTTTTCAGCAGGCCGGATCCTCTTTGTGAGGATCATGAGGATTCTCAAATCACATCCGTTTATTGTATATCGTGCGGACAAAAATTATTGTAAATTTTTTTTATTTACAATTGAATATAAACATTACCTGACAAAAACTGACTGCACAGTATACGATGAACGAATGTGATTAGAGGATTCTCAATTTTCTATTTTCTAAACATTGTGACATTTATTAACAGGCTAATTAAAGAGACATGTAAGAAGGAGTTGAAACTTAATGACACTTTCCAAATAAGAATATACAAATCCATCTTACATATTTTTGTAATGCTCATAAACCGTTTGTAAATCCTCCTATCTGATATGGGTTTTTGTTAAAGCATCTCTTGCATAACAAGAAATTGGTGGATTTATTGGGTTGTTAGCACGGTTGCATCGTATTGTTTGGTACCATTCACTAAACTCTTTACTTTTTGTCTTTTCTACACATGATGCCAACTGAAATGATAGCTGAATTTTGCAATCGTGACATTTTAATGCAATGCAAGTATATTGCTTGGTTATATTTTATATGTGTTCGGGCGAAGATTTCTCTGGAGAAGGATCCTCGGACCTCAGCACAGCTCCCAAAGGGATTGGCACTTTGGATGTGTAGTTGGGCTCTTGCTTGTTGATATGCTACAAAAGGATGACAAAGTTAGTTCTGAAAGGTGCTTTTGTGGGGCCTTAGGTGTAGGCCTTGAGGCTCGCAATCAAAACTAACTGAGTGCTAGACGTGCCATTACTATCTCAATATAGCAGATGTAGAACAAGAGTGTTTTAAGTCGATTACTTGCGCCCCAAGTTACTCGAACTTCTTGTTATCAAAGCATTGCCGTGGATGGGTTAAGTCCACATTAAATTATTTTTCTTGCCTTCTAAACAAGGACTTTTAGTTCATAGTCTTGTATGTTCGAATGAAGGGAGTCCAGATCCCCTTAAGTCATTTGTTTGGTCCTAGATTGCTTTTAATGAAGACATATTCATTAAACTAACCAGATCCAAATGCAAATAAGACTCTTAAAGTAGGAAAGCAGGTGGATATGACTTGAATACATACTGGAGAATGCATTAAGTAATAGATCTACAAATTTAGAAAACAAACAAAGAGCCTCGGGCAAGATTTCACCTTGTTTGGCAAGGTTGAACCTCTTGCAATCGCTTCTCTTTGAATTAACAAGGGTTTATGTGCTAAAAAGGGATGGATGGTAAACAAGTTTACACAAAGGAATCGATACTACGTCACTGAGGAAGATAGCAGAGCTTTAAATTGAACAAGAGATAGCTTGTTGCTAAAAAGGACTAAATCTAGGTTAATTTCAGCTTTTGGATGCAAATCTGGCTTGAGAGCAGAGTTTGTATGTTTGTTTGTTTGATTGGTTGAGTGTCCTTGGCTCTGGGCCTCTTCCTCCTTTTATAGGCAAATTAGCCCCACTGTTGTAACTTTGTTCTTGCCCGAAAGCACTTGGAGGGTAGTGAGTCATCACCTTTTTACTTAGAATGCTACTAGAAAGTGTTTTTTGGCTGGTTGTAGGTTAGTCTCCATCACTTGTCACTTCAGTGGCAAACACGTGGCTTGCATTTTGGCTGAGAAGGCTTCAATTTGCTTTTGGGCTTAGTGCTGGGCTTCGGGCAAGTCTTCTTTAATTAGGTATTCTTGGGCTTTTCTTCATCTAAGTCCAATGTTCAAATATTAACTCAAACAGTACCCCTTTAATCATTGTTAAGTCTACAACCCGAGACGCTAATAATGATTAAATAGCCGCCACACGCCTTCACTCGAGACTTGTGCCATTTAAAACAGCCGTTGTGAACTAAACCTTTGCACTAAACCACGAATTCCATCGTTAATTAACTGCTCACTATATAATTCTCACTTAGACCCTTTGGCTAAATACCTTAGCAACTTAAAACCTTCGAATTCCCAAAACTTCCCAGAATTCTCAGAGCCTTCAGACTTTCCAGAAACCTCTCTCATTCTTCAGTTCTTGCCCCTTAATTCCAATTTTCTTCCCATCTTCTCCTCAAAATCATCCAATGGCACCCAAAGCTGCTCGAACTCAATCTTCTTGCGAGACTGGTGAGGGGATTTCCACCATGCACCGCTTGCTCAACAACCTTCATCGCCCTCGGGCAGGCCTGCACACTAAACTCTTCTTCGATGAGGGAAAAGTTCACTCCTTGGGACCTACATGGACTTTTCCAGTCTTAATTGTCATTGAAAACAACATGCCCAAGGAGAAATGGTTCACCCCAAACCCATTTGTGGCCGAGTCAGGCATTTCTTCCTCCAAATGGTCAAACCACCGCTGTGGGTTCCCTCTAATGAAGGATGAAGGATGAAGGATGGACACAATGGATAAATGAGCTCGAGCCAACCTTCAAGCAAAAATGGATGAACAATGGTATTTATGAGCTGATAATGCTTTCCAGACCACGGTCATTGCCAAGCCCGAGTTGCTCACAACGGCTTTCCTCTTTTGGAATTCGGGGACAAACACTAATTTTAGGATGGGTCCTATGTCCCTGACCATTCTCGATATGGTACAAGTCTTCGGGTTTAGGCCCTCGGCCAGAGTTATAGACGTTACCTACGACTGGGCTCCACCTTCTTGCTCGACTACTGAGAGCTCGGGCAGCCCTGGTTCCATAATTCATTTGAAGTATAATTCTATGACTTTCAAGAGTTATGGGACTTCATTCACGAGTTTTATTCCGTTTTTGAAAAAGGAATTTGGCCCCTCATCTTCCAACGCCAACATAGATCAGAAGCATATGTATTTTCTACTATACTAACTCAAGAAGCATGTTTTCCCCAACAAGTCCAAGGGAGTAAAAGTCGAGCGAATCCATCTAGTGGAAGCTCTGCATAATTTTGATGATATGCAAACAGGCCCATTCCTTCTTGCTCATCTCTATCACCTCATGTATGAGATTTCCAAGGGTGGACCATTTGAAACCAACCTTAATGGTCCTACTTGGATGATTTTACTTTGGCTTCAATGGTATTTCCCCAAGTTTCGGGCTCCTAACCTTGAATTCCCCAAGGGTTTTGCTCCTGCCCGAATTCTAGCCGAAGGTTCTCCAACCAATCACTCCACGTTTTCCTGCCTTTACTTCTTCAGAGTCTACAGGACTCAGGTAGATCTAGAATGGGGGGCCTCCGTGCTTAGGAGATACCCTTGGTTTTTTTACCAAGCCTTCTAAGATGCCTCTGGAGAAGAGGCTAGTCCCTTATGCAGGGAGAGATTTGTCAGTTGTATTCAGTTAAGGGACCTAGCTTGGGGAGTAAGGTGTGACCGCTATGAACGTGGGTTGGAGGTTTACCACCGCAACTTCTGTGCTGGACAGTTGGGTTTTAGACAAACTATCCTGGTGCCCTCCTTCGATTATGTTCGTTGCAGTACCTCCTATCATATTCACTCTCTATAAGGAGTTATATTCATAGCTGCTGATAGGAGCATATTTATGCGACTGAGTTAGCTTGTTCTCATGCATTTACGTTTTTATTTCCTAGTTAATTATGTATTGTAAGCTATTTTCGTGTGTTTGTAGGTTCATAGGCCTTATAAAGCAATAAGATGCATTTTGGTGCATTTTGAGCAGTTTTTGGCTTGGAATGGATAACACATGCATAGAGCAAGGTGGATGGACGAAATTGAAGAATAAAGAGGCTAGGAATGTGTTAAAGAGAAAGAAGAATTAGTGTAAAAAGGACAAAGAGATCAGCCACAAAGGGGTGTCACTCCACCATTCACCTTTCCATCATTGCCGTGCACCACCATTGCACT